GTAATGAGGGGCCCAAAACTGAGCACAATACTCCAGTTGCGGGCGCACCAGAGTCGTGTAGAGTGGTAATACCTCTCTTGATCTAGAAGCCACACTTCTGGCTATGCAACCAAGGGTGGCGTTTGCCCTCTTGACCACCGCATCACACTGCTGACTCATGTTTAGCCTGCAGTCAACCAGCACCCCGAGGTCCCTTTCACAAGTGCTGCTCTCCAACCAGTTGTCCCCTAACCTGTACTTATGACAGCTATTCCTATGCCCCAAGTGCAAGACCTTTCACTTATCCACATTGAACGCCATCCTGTTGTCTCCTGCCCACTTCCATAGTCTGTCCAGATCCTTTTGGATCTGGAGTACCTGCTTCTCAGTCATGGCCACTGCTCCAGTTTTAGTGTCGTCTGCATTTGATCAGCAGACTGTTCACCCCTTCTTCCATATCGTTAATGAAAAGATTAAACAGGAATACATTCTCCAAATTCTGCCCAACATTATTTGATAATTTTAATTAACGTACATTTTCCAGAATAAATTGAGACAATGGGGGCATGTATTCTGAAAAAACAAGGGTTATGAGAGTATAGACAGTGATAGCAACTTGTTTCAGCTATGAATGAGGCATGATTTTGACAAATTCCACTCTCTTTTAGTGCTGTCCACCAGTCCCCCAGTGAACAAGTATTCTTAGCTGTCTTGCTGGTTGGAAAGACAAAAGTATTTTTATGATGATGTTAGGAAAATGCCTAAAAGTGTTGATCTATTTGATCAACACTTTTAGGCATTTTCCTAACATCTTTTCTGTCCAGTGGAGTGCAAAACATACAAGAATCTGGAAGTAGTGAAATTTGGCACTATAACCAGAATAAAAGGTAGCTGTTTCATTAACTCTTATAGAGGCAAAATAGTAAAACAAAACACACAAAAATCCCCCTTCTATCTTTCACTAAATAGACACTTCTGTGTTCAGGATACATCGAAAAAGTAGTTCCAGTAATTTTTTTTTCTTCAATATTCCATGCAAACGGAAGGTTGAAAATCAAATGTAAACTTCAACCATACAATTCCCACAAGAGTATTACTTGGTACCAAGACTCTAATGTGAGAGCCAGTGTGGTGTAGTGGTTAAGAGCATGGGACTGGGACTCAGACGATCTGGGTTCTAGTCCCTGCTCAGCCATAAAGCCAACTGTGTGACTTTGGGCCAGTCACAGACTCTCAGCCCAACCTACCTCACAGGGTTGTTGTTGTGGGGATAAGATGGAGGCGGAGATGTAAGATGCCTTGAGCCCTTTACAGGAAAAAGACAGGATATAAATCGAAAAATAAAGTATGATCAGAATACAGTTGTATTTTCCATTCAGGCTAATGGGGCTAGACTCTTAAAAGAAACGAACAAACAATAGCTATCTTATACTGAGTAGATTGCAGTTAAATGAATTTTATGATATTTCTAACTGGAAAGATTTTCTGTGGCACATTATAAAAAATACTGGACATTTATTGTGACACACACTTTCAGGAGTCCATTTCAGTGTTATGCTCAGCTCATGGGTTACACACATGGGTAGGTCCCTATATTTTATTGTAACTAAACGAAATTACATGTGATTTGAATAACCTCATATTCTTTCCTTGCTTACGCATGGATCCCTTCCCTCCCTCTGATGTTTCCTGCGTCTAATTTAGATTAACTCTTTTGAGGAATGAACAACTTATACCTGTAAAGCGCTAGATACACCTAGTGGTTCTCTTTAAAAGCATCATAATTGTGGGGTCAGATCACAATAAAATGCATGATGTTTCTATGCAAAGCTCAAATGTATACAAGGCAAGCACAACAAACATTCACAATCCAACTGTACTTTGAATTATGCAGTAGTTCTAGTTGTGCCTTTCAAGTTCTACTGTTAGATAATGATGACTTCTGGATCAGCAGCACAGTGGCCAGAGAGACTGATGTATTCTCTTGGTAAGTTCTGAGTGCTTGGATTAAACATGCCCATGCATTCTTCTTTACAGAGATTGATCTCTTTATCCTATATTTATAAAACAAAGCAAAGCAAAGCAAAATAAAACAAAGACATTTTTGGCAAGAGATGGCACAGCATGTTGGGCAATAAGTAGGAAATAAGGTGGATGATATGGCTAATAATATCTCTTTCATTGCCTAAGCAGATATGAAATTACCTGGCATCCAAGCTTCTTGCATGTTTTAGTTCCTGGATCTCCCTTTCTTCAGTGAACTGTCACAGCTGCTGAGTATTTATGTGTTGTTCATTTTTCCTACATCTGTACCTGGCAAAATCCTTATTACGGTGGCATGTTTCAATCTATTCACTATGGTTTTTCAAATGGTATCTTAAAATGTCTTGTTTTAAGATATGCAACATTTCAGTATCCTGAACAAGGAACTACAGTTAAGTTTGTTAGTCATTGCATCCAAATGCCACAAACAAATGTGCCCTCCTTAATTTTTCTGGCTTTAGAGGATTCAACCATTAACTGTCCAATTTATCTTCTACTTTATCTGCATTTGTTCACACAGCATTTAATCCTCCCAGTAACAGTAGTTCTCCATTTTGCATGCCAGCTACTGTATCCTAATAATGCCGGTATACAAGGACATGAGACAAGATGTGCAATTGAGAGATTTGTATCCTGCCTATTTTCAAGGCTTGCATTTGTGCTTGCAAGGCCAGGACTACCGTTTCAAATGACTTGCATCAAAATATCTATCAAGAAATAGGAACTGATTAGCTGCTGAATGGCTTAGAAGCATCACCAAAGATTAAAAGTATGAAAGTAGAGCTTGTTAAGGGTGGATGAGGCAAACCCACTGAAGAATATTGGGTGGCTTTACATTCTACTTTGGAGTTCAGGTGGCTCATAATATAATAAATGCTTAAAACCTGTCCTAGCCCAGCTGAAGCCTGGGCTGCCTGCCTGCCGCTCTCTACATCTGGAGCTAACTCCACCACATTTCTACCTTAAAATGCCATACCACTTTTCAGGCTTCAAACATGCATTCAAATTCTACTTTTTGTAAAGATGTGCAGCATTTCAGTTGCAATTACTGCTCCTTACATCCAGATATAGTTTTACTTACCTTACAGTATTTACAACATACAGTAGTTTCTGCCAAAGAAATGTTCAGGGAAAAAGGTCAGGTCTGTTGAGATGCAGTAGGCTTCCTTCCTATTACAAACAGGAATTCATTGGCTATTTTGCAGCCCAATATAAACTTCAAAGAGAAATCTTGGCAGATTTTATCATTCAAACCAGCATACAAGTTTTGCTTGACTAAAAATCTGTA